TCATCCATTGAATCCATAATCGTTTGATTGAGTTTAATTTGCCATCATCAGTGGCATCATCAATCACACCATGTGAGGCAAACCAACTTTCCCAGAAAGCTTAGTATTTCGGGGACAAAAAGAGGGGGATTCCCTTCGACTAAAACAATGATATTGATGCATATATTTGGTTTAAGAAGATTTGAAACACTTTTAACTGTTCGAATGTCATTAATTAATTTTTTTAGTTTCTTGGACATGAAAAGAAACTGTAACTAAAAAGATTCTCTCCGCAAAGATTAAAAATATGATATCTTTTGTACAGTTTTTGCATTATTTACATGATTTATTTGCACTCCAAATTATGTTAGTTTTCTCCTAACTGTTTTGTTCCGTTTCTTGGCAAAATTACTATTTATTTTCCAGATTAAAATCCAAACAGCTGTTCGGCTTAAATCATGAGCCTCCTGTCCACCAGGAGAGATTCTCCAGAGTGCGCTTATCCGTGGGAATCTCAGAGGTGAGAAACCGCGCATTCGCATGCAAATTAGATTTTTTAATTGGCGCATAAGCGGCGACATCTCCGTCTGACCCCCAGAAGAACGCCCAACTGAAATATCTGGCGCGATCTGTGCTCTTTCTCTCAGTTCTCCTCTGATCTCCTGCCGTTGGCGTCACCTCAAGGTGCTGAGATGTCATTCGCTTTTATGGTTATTGCGCCGGCAGCTGCTGTTGCCACTATTCTGTTGCTGTTGCTGTTGCCACTATAATGTTGCTGCTGCTGCTGGTGCATCGCGAGTTGCTGCTGCAAATGCAAATTGCGAGTGGCATTGGTCGCTCTGCTCGGGATGTTGGCGTTTTTGCGTGCTTAATTGAAAATTGTGTTTGGGCGCTTCTTATGAATGGGAAAGTCAAAGACGACAACGCACTGTTGGAATGCACAGGGAAAAATGTCCAAGCTTAAACAAATATTTGAGCTCCTATATACAAATTTCTTTGCATTTCTGACTTCTGTGCTCTACATAAAAATGCTAAAACCACGGTTTTAATTCATTAATTAATTAATACTAAATTGGAATAGCAAAGAAACTCTTAAATAGCTTCTAAAATATGTTTTTGGTTTTAAATTAAAAGATTTGGCAAATGTTTATAAAACCTACGTATTAATATTTATAATTTGATGGTTTCGATTTCAGCTTGAAAAGAAAAGGTGAATGAATATGAATCCTATTCATAAATATGTATAAAGAGCAAATCTCGGCTAAAAGCGAATATTTAATACAAATCGATCATAATTTGGCTGCCTTTTTAGAGTCGCACATTTTCTATTCGAATATTAAATTTGTCAAATGCCCTCCCATAGCGATAAATTTCTCATTAATTCTCCGAATCACTGGGGTGGAGCGGTGGGAGGGGCAGGATGGGCGAAAGAGCAGAAAGGAGCAGCAGGAGTCCAGCGAAAACTTCCGCCCGAGGGGTGGTTTGAGCTCTTCAATGTTTCCTCTGCCGCAGGCCACAGAAACACAAAAAATCTCGCCGAGATCTTGACTGGGCCGCCCTTTGTGCGCGAAGACGTTCGGCGGAGATTTCCCGCCAAAAAAGTTACGGGGGTTGCACAACGGGATTTGAGATCCCGGATGGTCGGGCGTTCGGATCGTTGGATCGTCGGTGGTGGTGGGTTGCGATCGGGTGGGTCGGCAGTGGTGGGTTGGTGGTGGCGGCGGTGCTGCTGGGGTGGCGCAAGGACAACAATAAGGAGGCTGAAGTCTGAGAGGGCGAAAATAACGACGATGACTGGGCCAAACCGTGGGAAGATTTCCAGCACAAAGGCGAAGGAATCTCGCTGCGAAATTCCCTTGCAGCTGCACTCAAATCACATTGAAATCGAAAAAAACAGATCCGAGGCGAGAACTTTTACCTTGATTGCCGTTTTGAGGGGTTTTTATTTTCTTTATTTTATTTCATTTTATTTTCGGGCGTAGGCATATGCGACACTGAAATGTACTTACGTACTTTTGTAAGCGCTACAGTACAGCTAAACACACTTAATAAAGCAACCGTAATGTTTTAAGAGCATACATTCGACTTAAAGATACCCGCTATTGAACATTCATTGTTATGTTAACATGAAAACATATTGATGCCAAATATTTAATTCAAAGGATATCCATTATACATATACATTTTTATATTCCACGGACCGATCTAGGATATAGTTTTAAAGCCTTTAATAACTTGTCAACTCTTGTCAAGGTATATTATCTTAAAAATGATTTTATGATTGAAATATATTTATAGACTTGTAATTAAAAAAAAATTTTTAAGGTCTGAATATATAATGCACAAATTACTTTAAAAGTAACCCAAAATGTATTTATAAGACGATGCCCATTATAAGTTTTTAAGTTCATTTTTAAAGAGCAATCATATCTTTATGTTTATAAAAAGGGAACTTAGGCACAATCATTTTATTATGCCTATTTGCTAAAAGGGGCTAATCCCAACGGATAATATTTCTTTTAACAACAGCTTAGGGGCTGTCCATATATTACGTAATCACCTAGGGGGGGGGAGGGGGTCATTGAAATGATTATGTTTGATTACATGGGGAGGGGGGGGGGTCTTGTACAATGATTACGTAATCATTTTATATGAACTTTTTTATTTAAAGAATTTGTTTAAAAACTTTTTTCCTTTAATTATATCTACAAACTTAGATAGGAAAGCAGGGAAAACATTTTTGTAGTGGCTGGGCGTCGAAAAAGAGAATGTTTGGTGGTTTAATCACACGAAGGACGCGAAGACCTGGAATGGCTTGACGAAGAGTATGTTGGAGATAATATCAGCGTAGACGAACCATACCAAACTTCATTTATAAACAATATTAAAGATTGGGTTGCATCTCCGTTTGAATCCACAGATTAAAACAAAAAAAATTTTATTCTTGGGATTACGTAATCATTGGGGGGGGGGAGGTGTTTATTGAATGATTACGTTTGATCACCAGGGGGGGGAGGGGGTCAAAAATCACCAAAAACGTGATTACGTAATATATGGACAGCCCCTTACATCAGTTAAATAAATAATACGCCCTGTTGGTCACCAAATACCGGGTGTATTAAAAATGTCGCCAGCCCGACGAACGACTTAATCAACAAATCAGCGTTGTCAATCTGCGGATTGTGTTGGCTGCTCACCGCCACTTCCCCCAACCCCCCTCGCAACACGTTCGCTGTGGATATATATCTCGCTGATCTGCGATCGTCGATCTGCGATCACTTGGCCTACACCATTTTGGTTTCGTTTCTTTTGTCGCCGTCTCATTTCAATAACTCACAGATACATCTGCATATGGCGCGTATACATAGTACCTATAGCATATGGCATATAACTTATAGCCGAACACCTACGTTCGGAGGCTTTTGGCTCTTTGCAGTGCTTCTCTTTTCAAAATACCAACGAATTGTGTACGAATCGCGTAAACGCGTTTATTTTCCCTGCCCACAATCACACACACACATGCCGATTTCCTGGTGTGGGTTGAGTATCTGTGTGAGTGCGCCACTATTCGTTCATTCACAAATTGTGTTGTTGCTGTCTTGGCATGCTTTTGCTGTTTTTTTTGTTTTTTCCCAATTCGGTTTTGTTTTGTAAACACACATAGACACACAAACACACCTGGACGGAGGCGCACACAGATACGAAGACACCTCGGCAGCTGCGTCACACACACGCACACGGTTGGCCAAGAGAGCGCTCTCTCTCTCACGTTGAATGCATCGGCATTTCAAGTTCAGGTATCGTATCTGTGAAGTTGTTTTGCCGGCATTTCATTTCTCACGAGCGCAAAGAGAGAGTTTCAGAGAGCTAGGAAGTGTATCTGTGTGAGTGGCATGAGAGAGTTTATCCGGGGATTTTATCCGGACCTTCAATGCGGCTTAAAATCATTCGACTGCGATTTTCTTATAATGCAATTGGGTTTAAATTGAGCTTAGATTATTCAACTTTAGAAAAAAAATTTAGTAACATAATATTAATTTATTGCGAGCTTGGAAACCTAAAGATACATCATAATAAAAAAGGCAATACTTTTTAGTTTAGATAATTCGGGAACAGGGTCTGTAAATTGTTGGATTTTATTCACAAATGTTTGTTATGCGGTGACACAATCCATACATTTTTTATAATAATATAAATTATTAAATAAAAATAAAATCGTTCGTAACTATAAGTATTCTTTAAAAAAAACCTTTAAAAATATGTATTTTAAAATGTATTTTACAAAACGGTTTTATTTTAATTGCCAGTATACTTGGAAATTAACAGCAAGTAAACATTGAAAAAATAATACCATTCTTTGTTATCAGACTTAGTTTTTAGCACGGACATTTACATCTATCACCAAGCACCTTAAAATGTGTTGAAAATGTAAGGACATTTGTATAGCTGGAAATTCTAAGTTTAAAGAATACGGGCCAACTCCTTCGTGGATTTGAACCGTGACTTTCGTTTACTTTCGACTCCTTCGAACAGTACAAAAGACACCCGCTGGCTTATCTGTGCATTTTCGATATTATATAGCTTATATAACGGCAGTCGGTGGAAGTGGGAGGTGCCTATTCGGAGCTCAACTCGCAACTGGCGACCCAAAAGCGCCAAATGCAGCCGAGTGCCCCCATTGGCATAGAGTTTTGAGCAATTAGAAGCCCACGCAGCCATAAACAACAACTGCGGATGGGGGGTGGGAGTGGGAGGAGAGGCTCTTTGAGCAGCTCCCACCGAGAGGAGAAAAAGCTAGAGAAATCCCCACTGCATGTGCTGCTCTTTCTCGCTCTCTCGCGACTTTATCCGGCGAATGAGAGGACAACATTCGGTGTACAATTGGCGCACACAGACGCAACCGCCCGCCTGCCTCGGTGTGGGTGTCCCATCGGCATTGGTGTTGGTGGCCGTCGTATCGCCTGAGCGGTGAACGAGTGGCGATTCTACTCAGAAGTCAGTTTCTTGCTGGGCAGTGTCGGTTCAGGTTCATCGACGCTCCGCACGCGCTGCCGCGAATTCTTCAGTGCTGAAAACGCAAGACGCGTCGTCTTTTTCGGCCCAAAAACCAGGAGGAAAAAAGAAAACCGAACGAAACGAAATCTTCGCAGTGCGTTTCCAGACTCCCTCTCTCTTTCTCCTTCTCGCTCTCTCTCTCCTCGAAGAGAGTTTCAGTGGTTGGTGGTTTGGATTTGGTGGTTCGGCTGGTGGTGCCGCCGCTGCTGCCGAAGCTCTGCCGACGCCGACGACGACGCCACGTCGGGAAAACCAACCTCTTGCAGTGAAAATCTTTTCGTACGTTTTCGTTATTTGTTATTCGCACGTTGACGCGACGAGACCGCGAAACACGAGAGCAGCAGCAACAGCAACAGCAATTGCAACTGCAACTGCAATAATGATCGCGCGTGCAACAGCAACACAACGAAAATCAGTGGCAAAACCCTAAAGTATCTAACCCGAAAAAAATCCAACACTTAACTGGCCAAATCCGTTGAAACCAAGTGAAAAGTGTGTGTCTTACAATCCCCATTAAGTAATATGAATCAATTATAGCCGCAAAACACACAATAGCCAAACACGCAAACGCAGCATAAGCACAAATAAAATACATAAAAAAAAGTGTGATATTTTGATATTAGCAATTAGAGTTTACACAACGCAGCCTAAAAAATATTTGTTAAATGTGTTTGCCCCCCAGGCAAAAGCAGAAAATTGGATAATGCTTGGATAATCCCCCTCCTACAAAAAAAAAACACAACATAAAGGTGAGTTAGCGAGATCGCTCAATTTGCCGACGGCTTAGTCATAAGGCCAGCTAAAAAAAAAGTAGAGAAACGCCATCTCAGCTGGTTGGCCAAAATGTGTCAGAAGCTTGGCTCCAGTTACGAATGGAGATCGGCTTACCATAACCCATAGCCTCAGCGTAATATCAGATCGGGGGTAGTATAGTATATATGCAATCGATTGCACCCATGAATGATGGACTGATGCGATGTGATGAGTTCATATCAGCACCGGCCCCCTCCAGAGTCATCATCATCGTTATTATCATCATCTCACTCCGATTCCGATTTTAATTCCGATCCGAAACCATTCCCTCCATTCCATTCCATCTATATTGACGTCAATCGCCGCAGCAACTTGACATCGCCGATCTGCAGATCGTGTGCCGTGCCTGGCAAATTGACGCACACAGAAAAGCCAGAGAGATAGGACCCTTAGCCCCAGTTCCAGACTTTAAGACTTTCAGACTTCCAGCTTGCAAGTTCCAGTTTTAGCTAGAAGCGGGGAATTTTAATTGCCCATCCTGGCCAAAAGCAGACCACTCTCTCTATGTGAACTATGCCAATTGTCTACACCTGAGCCGCAGAACTGGCCGGCTAGCTGACAAATTTGTATGCACGCGCTTCAAAAGTGCAATATTAATTAATTCCAGCAACTCGAGACACGGCAGCAACATGAACTGATCTGTATGCAGCATAAGTTGTTGGTTGCAAGTTGCTAGTTGCTACTAGCTACTTGCTACTTAGTCGAGGCAATTAAATCGTATGTCATTCATTGGTAATTTATACCATTTAAAGGCATTGCGTTGAGGATGGGTAGACACAGAAGAGAAGTTCTGAAGGATGGTTCTTCGTTGATGGTTCCTATCTGTGTTTTACACTCCATCCATTAGCATAGACTGCGATTTCTAGTTGTAAACCAAAATTCGTTGCTTTGCTTTTGACCTGTCTCCAAAACGCCAAACGGCAAAAGCCAAACGCTTGATAGATCGCTCTAAACCGATTCCGATTCCGATCCGATCGGCGATAAATGCAACTTGCCATGAAAAGTGCTGCCTTAAATGGGCATTAGGCTATTGCACATTTCTCAATATGTCGAGTGATTTTTTCCCTGCTCCTCCAACGCGGCTGACTTATACGCACCGCACCTTATATGACGAACGGCGACGTCTGCCGCTGTCCCACTGCATTTGGCATATAAAGCAGGCAGTGGTTCACTCGGTGGCCAAGGTGTTGGGGGTGGGCGAAGGTGTCTCAGGTGGTTCGGTTCGCCGGTTGGAGTCTCACCCGCACGACGCCATTTTCGAGGCCCCAATTTGCATTTTCCACACAAAAGCACTTGGAGCCAGGCTCCCTAGAAAAAAAAACCCCACCCCCTTTGGTCGACTTAAGGTCCCTGGTTCAGTGGTTAATTTATTTCTGACACAGCCTTAAATTAACAATTTTAATACAAACAACAAAAGAGCGCGCATTGAAATTGAGACGTTGGGCGAAATACAAAAAATACAAATAAAAATAAAATGCACACCACACAATACGAAATACAGAAAACAAAAAGCTAAAAAGGAAAAAGCATAAAATAAATTTACAGCAAAACAAAAGCGTGTAACAGAACAAAGGAGACGGTTTTGGGGAGCAGCGAAAGAGGAATGTGTAAGGTGAAATAAAATTCTGGCGCGTTAATTAACTTTAAACGATTGAAAACGAATTGATTTGGAGAAGCCATTTGATTTGGATTAGTCGTGCCTGGTTCAGAAAACACAAAATTGAAAAAAAAAAAACACAAGAAACCGAGGTTGTGGAGGTGGACCGCAGCTCGAAAGGGTTAAAGCTTTTGGCCCCAGAGTTGCCAGGCCGGGCTAAAATTAAAATTCAATCATCACGTGTGCGTTAAAAGAGACACACAATCAGACAGATCATTGGAGATGTTAATTGGAATGCGTTAAACAATAAAACAAAGACTGCGATGTCTGCCACAGTTGCCAAGAGACTTAACACCTTTTGGATCTGCGGTTAAAGCCGACATCTTCGACATCTGATAGGGCCCACAAACTCGGCCCTGGACATGCGTCGTTATCATGCATTTGATAAACGTTTTGTTTTTCATTAGAGCCTTCGCATTGCCGCCGCGGAGGAGGAGATATCAAAGCGATCGCAAACTTGGGATCACACCCCTTCAATTAGCAGGGGGTTCAGCTCAAGTTCCTCGAAATTTTCGATGGTTGGCTAATCTTTGAATACCGCAAGTTTGTTATATTTCAAACATATTTGAAAACAGGAAATTCTCAGTCTCAAAATATGGATAATATAGTCAGCTTAACGTTTCGAAGCTACTTCCTTTGATAAGCTTTCAAAGTTTTGAATCCGATAAAAGAAATCGGGGAAATAAATTTTATCCCATTTCCTAGAACTACAATTTATTAACATTCTTTGAAAGTCACAATACGATTACTTTAAATTCAAAAACCATATTATCTTCAAATATTCCCAGACTAACCGCACTTTTATCGGTAGATTTTGTAGTCTGGGGTTCGCTGTAGATAGTCGAGTTCCCACCGCGGGCATTATTATTTTAAATGTACTTTTTTGGCATATCAGGCAACCACACGCAGTCCTCAATGAAGTGAATTATTTTTCGGTGGGGCCAACGCCGCCGCAGCACGTACTTGAAAACAACTTTTAATCTCGAGTAGTTTCAATTAACGTCATTGGACTACATAGATCGCTGATTACGGATTGAATGAGCATTAAAAGTATATATGAATAAGTGCGGAGTGCTGTGCTGGGTGTGAGTGTAGAAAATAGAAACGAAAACAAAGTTAAAATCGTGAGCGGAGATTGCGCGATTGCGGCCACCCACCGCACATGGTCGGCCGTTATCGGCGGGAAAGCAGCGCTATATGCGCTATATACGCACATATAGCCCCCCGATCCGGTGGGCTATCTGTCCTTCGATTTACGTCACAGCTCGAGGCGCAATTCATGAATTTCTCGCCTCGAAAAAAACACAATTCTATTTACCGGACGCCCACTTTTGAGTGGGTGGTTGGGGCGGTTCGGTTCGGTTCGGTTCGGTTTGGGTGATAAGTTTGGGCTTGATAAGGACTTGGAGTGGTCAGTGGGTGGGTGGTGGATCGAGTTAGGAAATTTACGGGCGTTGCATAAAGCTGATTAGAGCCTGATTATTTCTGAGTCAGCCGAAAGAGACTCAGATCTTTCGATTGTTGTCGCTACTTTTTTGATTAGGCCAACTCATAAAGCGGAAAACCTGTTGCACGACAGTTGGCCAGTTTTCCAGCTGGAAATTTGCAACTCGCTTCGGCCAGTCCAATATTTTCGCTGAGTTTATAAGCGCAAATGTCTGTCGCATAAAACTTAATTGTAATGTTTGTTTACGAGCTCCACTTGCCGGATTTCGAGACCGAAACCACCACCCCCGAACTAATGGCGGCCATAAATCCGCCGAGTATCTCAAATATGAATTGCACTTTAGTTCCAGATCTCGGCGAGTGCCTAATTTATGTAATACCCCCTGCTGTTTGTCATTTCACTTGGCCAGAGGAAAGTTCCTCCAAATTGTTTTAAGTAAGCGACAGCGAAAAAACCGAATAATAATAATAAAGAAATATCTTCATGCCAACAAATCCATTACAGTCAAGTGCGCGACAACAGCAACAGCAAATAAATAAAAATATACGAGTGTGTGCGAACGGACGGACAGATCGCCGAGTGTGTGTGCGTGTCGAGTTAAAAAAAATTAACCGAAATTTTATTAGTATTTGCGCAAGCGCAAGCCAAAGTCAACCTCAAATATTTGACGACCAGAGTTGACCAAAAGAGCCCGACTTCTCAGGGGGCGGGGGCGGCGAAGGAGGTAGGGGGAGGCATCTGCATTCTCCCAGCCACGCAGACTCTCTTCTGGCCCAAAGAAATGGACCTGGTCCAGAGAGCCCTGCGCACAAACCAAGCAAAAGGCAATTAGAGTTGACACTTTGGGATTTTCGGTCTTACCTTTTTTCTCTCTGATTATACCTGGTATCTTTCGGGTATTAAGGGTTTCATGTACTATAAAAAATAAAATATTATTTTATACATTAAAAGATTACTTTATTTAAATCATTTTTTTAACTTAGCTTGTATGATGAAATAAATTCATAACCAGTTTATCTTTATACATTTTAATTCTATTTAAACTCCCACATGTTGAAAAAGTCTTTGGCATTAACGTTTCAAAATTAAATTATTTATGAGCTTTTCAGAACTCACAACACTGACTGCTGAATTTAGATTTATATCTTTGATTTCAATAATTTTAATAGTATCTTTACAAAAGTAATAAGATGTCTTAAAATACTTTTTCATTTTTGATATAGTATAAAATAAATTATATAAAATATTTTGTAGTAAAGGGTGTCAGAACGTTCTCACTACCCAAGAATATGATTCCCCATCAACCCATCCCTTTTCGCACCTTTGTTTTAGCGGCTCCTCGTGATCCCTGGGATCCTCTGATCCAAGGGTCTAAAGAAGATGTCCGCTGGACCAGCTCATCTCTGCCCAAGTCAACTCTGGTCAGTTTTCGGCCGGGGCTTAGTTGTGATGATGGCGTTGACGTGCCCAGGGGACAGTTTAATTTTCACTAGACATTGCCCACTTAAAAACCATTTTCACTTGAGACGTGACCGCTCGGCCAGATCTGCTTCTTTCGGCCGTCTAATGTTCGACTTGGTCTCGCTTTTTCGGTCTTGGGCCCCAGAGTTTTAAACCTTCGGTTCGGGGGATCTGTTATTTATGGATCAATATTGACGCAGCAGCCGAGTGGGGAGAGGGAAATATCTGTAAAATAGCCAGGCAACATTGTAAACAAAGTGTAAGCCGCTTTGTTGTTGTCTCTGGCAACAACGACACCTCCCAAAAGCCTCCCCTCGCCCCTAAAAACGGTGGATGGGGGGAAAAGAGTGTCACTAAGGCATTTTTCAAAT